GGTGAATGGCACCAGTCTCGGGTACCTCGACGATGACGACCTCTGCGGGCTTGAAACCCTCGCGGGGATCCTTGCCAACAGCCTCGACTTCCCTATTGCGCGGGCCCTCGCCGCGAACCCCTCTTTGGATCGCCCGAATCCTGCGATGGGGAGGCGGGAGGAAGGCCTCGCAGAATGTAAGCCGGACTCCCCGTCGGCGATCCCCAGGGCTAGGGGCATTCCATACCTTGTGATGGACCAGATGCCGGAGAAGATGTGGAAGCGGGTGGAGAATTGGGAGTTCCGTACTACACGGCTAGACCGTATTTCAGGCAAGACCTCCATGCTGGAGCTGGAGAGGGACACCGGGGTCTCTGCTTTCCCCGAGATCCAATTCCCGTCCAACGCCTTCGCTGTCTCTTGTGTGGGCGCCGATGGCGAGCCGGTGGTGCTTTTCGATTTGCTCTCCATTTTGAAGAACGCGGCCGAGTTCTACGCCACGGCGGACTACCGCGAGAAGGTTCGGTCGCAGATTGTCCTTCCCGTTTCAGAGGGCTGGGCAATGGCGCCTTTCGACAGCCACGACCCTGGCGTGGACTGGGCCTGGCGGCATCGCTACTACGGCATCCAGTCCGACCGGCTGCGGCCGCTTGAGCCTGGTATGCGCGACGTCGACTGGGACCTCCTTCGGAATAACGCCCTGCCCATCGTTTTTTTTGGTGAGCTCGACTTCTTCGAGGACGATCTGCACGACTTTGGTATGGTGCGCTGCTCGGTGAAGTTTCGGGTTATGACCACCGCGTTTTATATCCTGTTCCGCCACTTTGTGCGGCTTGATCACCACATGATTTGGATGCGGGATGTACGAATATTCCACAAGTTCGGGGAAACCCGAGCCGAGAGCGGAGTGGAAATACCCCATATCGTCGTTGTGGAGCAATTTGCGAAACATGACATTACTCAGCACGAAAGCCTTGAATGGAAGGATGTAAGTCCAGATGAGGCGTTCAAAAAGGCGATACTACTAAGCGAAGATAAATTTTGCGTGGACACTACCCCATCGTGAAGGCTTTATAAGCTTGAGTAAGTATTTTTCCCTCTTCCGATATATGCGTTTATCTATCTGCATAAACACATATCTATTACTTTATATATGGGTGCGTAGAGATCTTTCCAACAGAGAAACTGTCCTGTGAAATTCATAGATAGTGTTTTCACCGTATTTTTTATTCAATTCCTGAGTTTACCCTACTGCCGAATTGCCTAAGTCCATATATCGTTGAGTCTATTCCTCCCCTTTAGTTTTATACATAAGTATTTTATAATAGTGGTCTTGTATTGTAGTTTCACATATCTTATGTGGAGGCTCTATGATGATTCGGATTTTTTCAAAAATCCTCAGATTTCTGATCATCCCATTACAAGTTGTTTAGTTCTAATCAGCGATTGGTGCTGTGAATGTTATCATAAAGTATTATGAAAAGTAAGCTGGCGATAGGCTGAGGAGTTTTTGATAGTTATCATTAAGTGTTTCTTTGTTTTCATTTTTCATTCTAGAGGGCAGTGAAGAAAGTACCAAAAGATACATTCGGTGAGCAAGAGGATGTCAACATTATGTGTCTAAAAAAAGAAGCACTATTATGTGCTTCAATTAGCCTGACAGGAATAAAGAAAAAAAGTATTTATGGTTTATATGGTAAATAGTGCGCACTCTTTTTTTGGACACTATTTCTGCAATCGTGTCCACTACTAACGAGGTTATCACTATATCGAATGGGTGAATAATATCAAACAACTATTTCCAACAACCAACAAAATAGGGATTATTTGCCCATGTAAACGTATTTCTTCCTTTTTGACTGAGAATCTTCTCCTCCAAGTATCGACATGCTTGAATTATGTTTCTATTTTCCTACGTCTAAGTTTCAAGGATTACACACCTTAAGTGGCTATAATTAGTTATATGGCTTTGTAGAGAAAGATGGTTACCCCCTCCTCGCAGAGGTGCACGGTGATAGAGTGTGCTCAAGGAAGCGATCTTTATATAGTAGTCCTTGAGTCGGAAGAGGTCTTGTGCAAATTATCCATGAAGGAGAAAAGGTGTGTTTTACTTCATTCAGCAGGATATTCTTGCGTTACCTGGGGGGATAGCCAGAAACCAACCGCTAAAAGCGGAAACACAAGGGCGCCGTGCTTAGAAAACGTTTAGCGGCATAATATCTGCATGTAAGAGTGTTCAATTGAAACTACCTTCCACGCGTCTTGGTTCATGTCCGAGATATCTTATTGAAAGGAGATGCGTCCCC